TCAGAGAGAATGGGCACTCATATGAGTGGAACTGGAACTGCAGGAACGGAGGGGGAGTGCATGGGTTCATGTGCATGTGTGCGGGGAGACGGAGTTGACGGTGTGGAGAGGTGAAAGAGAGCGAGAGACAACAATACTTCCAGAGACATCGTACACTCTGTAGCAGCAACAGTAGCACTTGGAGTCAGAGAGAGATCTAATACCAGGAGGATAGAGAGAGATGGGACACCTGCACAAGCTACATAGAGAGGCTAATGACAAACATGCATAGACCCTGAGAGAGAGTGAGAGAGACACACACACACAGACACTGTTGTAGACTCTAAAATGTCAGCTTTGCCAAGTGAAATGTAAAGTAGCTTCCTACTTGGGCACAGCTTAGCAGCACAGTAATAAACACTCATATACATTCCCTCTTAGAAATCAGTTTGAGTTGGCTCCATATGCCCCAGTCTAAACCAACAGCCCTTTAAAAGCTCTAAACCACGATCTTCTCTCCTCCCCCCCTCACTCTGTGCCTTGACACACAAAACAGTCCAGCTATCCTCCCATACCGGCCTTGTGTAACACACCGGCTCTCTCTCCCTTTCTTACACATAGAAAACTACACTCCCTGCACAACACTCTCTCTCTCCTACAGACTCCAATACCTGCTTACTCTGTCTATCGCCCGCTCTTAATTTCTGTCCTTATTTTGTGTCTTGTTGTGTGTAGTATACAGAACCCCCCCCCCCCCCACCCATCCCTGTCCACACTACCACCTGCCTCCTAACGTATTACATTGTCGCAGGACGTCTTAAACAGTAGCATCATGATAAAGCTACTGACACAGAATTACATAGATTTACTAGTCTACTACTACACTAAAAGCCCAACCACAGGTCACAACCCTGTTTTGTCTCTTCCTGGTGCAGTTGAACTGAAGTGGTTACTGATGCCCTCTTGCTGAGCATCGAATGCTCTCATGTTACTAGCTACCGTCTTAAAGGAGAATTTTGCTTTTTTACAACCAAATCTCTATTTTGATGTAAATGGTATATTATAGAAGGGTTCAAACACCTTATTTTTGTGATTGCACTTGTTTTTGAGAAACTTACCCCAACCAGCGATTAATTTCCTCATCCTCGTTGTGCAGTACGTGGCCTCTGAAAAAACATGAGCAAATGCACCAAGAACAACCAAATGCGTCCTTTTAGAAACGGAAACGCTCTCAGTATAGTGATGCAGGTCTTTCGAACTTTATCCGCAACTTTATATTCCATTTTGTGCGACTTGAGCTGTTTCCACTATCCAGCTGTTCCATTCTCCTTGTAGCCTGCTGCTCGAATGGATGGAGAGGTATCACTTGAGTTATGTGTTTCATTTGTACAACATCTACAGACCTACATCACTATACTGAGAGCTTTTCCGTTTCTAAAAGGATGTATTTGGGTGTTTTTGGAGCCTTTGTTCATGTTTTTCCGGAGCCCTCGTACTGCACAACGAGGATGAGGAAGTGAATCACTGATTTGGGTAAGTTTCTCAAAAGGTCTGGACATGCCATTTACATAAGAAATTGAGATTTGGTTGTAAAAAAGCAAAATTCTCCTTTAAGCTCTACACGTATTCTTCTTGTGCTCTGCCAATATACATCACTCTCTGTGTGTGTGTGTGTGTGTGTGTGTGTGTGTGAACGAACCCTCAACATAGCTCGAGGTGGGTGAGAAGTGTGTATGTGTCACTTATGGTTGTATGACTGTTTAGAAGTTACCCATTTGTATATAATACATATATGTGAAGCTTGGATAGATGGCCTTGTGTTGCGAATGTGGTAGTTTGTAAGAGAAGTAACGTTAGTGAGTATCTGTATTTGGTGCAAACCGTGCGCTATATTTGGCTTATTCTCACATGCTTAAGCATTCCAATAAAGGACCATGTATGTACAACATTTGTGGTGTTGCTTCATGTCACTTGATTTTAAGGTGCAAGTGTGGAGAAAATGTATTAAGGTTTGTGATTAGATAGCCTATCTGCGATTCAGTCACTGCATTACTAACTTGCGGGAGTCCCATTTAACCTCTAGAGGGAGCCCTTTACTATGTGAGCCCTCTGCAAGTGGGACAGACCTCTTTTACTGTCGATGAGATGGACTGATGGCTTGTCTCAATAAATGTATTTCCAAGGCTACTGGATAGGACAAATCTAAAGCAAAAGCTTGCACAATTTATAGTAAAACAGTTACCAAGGTAAATCAGGTCATTGTCAGTGGGATATCATAGAGGGATGTGAGGGAGAGAAAAAGAGGGTTGGCTTATCGTTTAAGATAAAACTCCCTGTCTCTTGAATGAGCCCCCTCCCTCATATCCCTCTGTATCTCTGGCTGACAATTACACAAGTTACCTGTTAGATGTCTCTGCTGTTATGGGTATAGTGGTTGGTGTTTGCACAACTTGTGGTAAAACAGTTACAAAAGCTCCCAAAAGAAATAGTAAAAATGACAGGATAAAATTGCAGAAATAAATGATATAGCTTGTTGCCAACACTTGTCTTGGTGTCCATGAGTTAATGCACATCAACAATAGAATGAGGATTCGCTTCGACTAGAAGTTAATAATACCATTCAGATTACTGTAAAAAAAAAAAAATGGTAGACACCATGTCTGTTGTGTGTTTTACTGTGACTAATAAAATGCTATGGCTGACTTGGTACATGGAGGTCATACTTTTCTGTCATCTGAAAATATGCACTAATTCTTAAAACCCTAATGCTGTATGAACCGACTGACATTCTTTTAGAATCATTCCTCTGTCCCCTCAACACTGAAAGAAGAGGGGAGGGAGGGCAATGCGATAGAGTGCATGGAGCATTATATAGTACAGTCAATGAGATAAGACGGACGTATATGCCTATAACCCCAGCATTAACTGACACCGTGGTGATACCAAGATAACATATCCATGTTTCCACCTCACCACCATGGTTATAACCATGTACAGTTCAACACAACTCTGAGAGCACAGGGGATATTGAGAGGTGGTGGGGGGCATGAGGGGTGGAGGAGGGGAAAGGAAAGAGACAGAAGGTCAAGTACCATTTCAACTACCAATGAGAGAGGGAGCATCAATCCACCAAGGGTGAGGGTAGTGTTTCTAGAGTTAATGTAAAGAGTACCATATGACTATCATGGGCCCTATTTAGCCAATCAATACAGTGGTGCCTACTCAGATGTGAACTTTGCTTAATTAACCCTATGTTGCACGGTACAGTACATGCTGTGTGCAGGGCAGGGTACTGGGAGTCATACACGTAAAAAGGGATACTTAGAAGCACTTCAGGAGTCACTAGGGTACATTTACATAAGTACTACATCTTTGGCAGCGATTACAGCCTTGAGTCTTCTTGGGTATGACGCTACAAGCTTGGCACACCTGTATTTGGGGAGTTTCTCCCATTCTTCTCTGCAGATCCTCTCAAGCTCTGTCAGGTTGGATGGGGAGCGTTGCTGCACAGCTATTTTCAGGTCTCTCCAGAGATTTTCGATCGGGTTCAAGTCCGGGCTCTGGCTGGGCCACTCAAGGACATTCAGAGACTAGTCCCGAAGCCAATCCTGCGTTGTCTTGGCTGTGTGCTTAGGGTCGTTGTCCTGTTGGAAGATGAACCTTTGCCCCAGTCTGAGGTCCTGAGCGCTCAGGAGCAGGTTTTCATCAAGGATCTCTCTGTACTTTGCTCCGTTCGTCTTTCTCCTAGTAAAGGGTCTGAATACTTTCAAAAAACCTGTTTTCGTTTTGTCATTATGGGGTATTGTGTGTAGATTGATGAGGACATTTTAGAATAAGGCTGTAACTTAACAAAATGTGGGAAAGGTCAAGGGGTCTGAATACTTTCCCGAATGCACTGTATATATATGTTTTTTGGGGGGAAACAAACTCAATATAATTTAAAATGACTCAAACCAAACTGAAACTGTGTAGAAATTATAATGGACCTACATTCATACAGTTCATTGACTGTGTCCAGCTTGCTAATAATCCCCGTAATGAAAGCTAGATAATCAGGGAGCATCGAACATTTTCAAAACAATCAACTCTTTTTTGCTAATTTTGACAGCAAGGAAATATTGTAAAAATTCAGTGCCCTCCGGACGTCATTGAAGACCGAATGTGGTCCCCTGGGCAAAATTAGTTTGATATCCCTACTGTATATGGATCTAACAAATATTGTTCATCATGACGTCCAACACTGGGGTATGTTTAGTGATATTGAATATACCCAGTTACATATGTAAAGTATGTCAGTATTAATGTATACAATTTATGTACTAAGATTTTGCGTACCAGAAACAACACAGAGATAAGTGTCATCTGCCATTCCAGAAAAATTTAAATACTTAGACATTCAGAGGATTGATAGTAACCCCAGTACATAACATCAGGCAAACCCAGTAACCCAAGCATGTACATGTAGGTATGTTTGTCTGTTTGCTCAATCTCCTCCTCCTCTTTGTTTATGACCCTTGAACTTACTCCTCCAGTTGGGTTGTAAGGGGTTGAGGTCCATGTTTGAGACAGCACACACACACCTGCTCAGAGACCTATACAAGCTGCCTGGCCCTGTGCATCAGCCTCACTCAAAGAGCAGCACCACCCCCAGGTAAGAGACAACCAGCCTCACTAAGACACTCAAAGGGAGGTAAGGGGCTTATAAGGAAAGTATAGGAGATAGCCAACATAGGAAAATGGAGGAATTGAATGACCAAGCTAAAAGTTGCTGAAAGACATTCTCAGCAGATATTCTTATTGAAATTAGGTTATTGGAAAGAAATGTAAGAATTAAATGTTTGTCATTTGAAATATGGATCATATGCATCAAAAGTAACTTAAGGGTTATTCTTGTGTTGAAGAGCTGCATTTTGTACTTTGAATGTTTGGTGTTAGATTAAAATGTTTTTGGTTGTGTGAAACATTGAATGTTGTGGCTTGCTTCTGAATATTGTTATCTCATCTTCTCTCTGTCCTTCACCATGAAATTCATCGCTCTTGCACTGACTCTTGTTGGCAGTAGGTCAGTATGAGCTCTAATGTTATATGACGTACATTGTTTTGTGTGGAGGCCTGAGCACTATAGCTAAAGCCTGGGTCTTTCATGTGGTTGTTCCCCCAAAAGGCTCCCAGGCCAGGGCCCTGCAGAATGATGCCCCCTCCCAGATGGAGCACAGCAAGGCTGCTGCCATGGTGTACGTCACTCATGTGAAGGAGACTGCCCAGAAGACCCTGGACCACCTCGATGGAACCAAAAATAGCTCCACTCATGGTTAACTTCCATCAGATCATTCTGTCTTCATGTTCTCTTCCCTACAACCCCTCATCCTTCTTTTCATAATAGCAATCGATTGCTCTGGTCTCTCCCTCATTTTACCCTCCACTTCTCTGTACCCCCCTCCCTACCCCCAGGATGAAGCTGTCCGAGAGCTTCGACAAGCTGCACGAGTATGCCCAGACCGCTTCCCAGACGCTGGCCCCCTACGGCGTTGCCTTCAGCACCCAGTTCCTTGAGGCCACCAAGCAGTTGCATGAGAAGGTGATGGCTGATGTTGAGGACCTCCACACCCAGCTAGAGCCCAAGCGTGAGAAGCTGCAGCAGGTCCTCCAGAAGCACGTTAAGGAGTACCGCAAGAAGCTTGAGCCCGTCTTCCAGGAGTATGTCTCCAAGCGCCGCGAGGATATGGACACCTTGAGGGCCAAGCTACAACCCCTGGTTGATGAGATGCGCGCCAAGGTTGAGGTGACCAAGTCCAAGCTGATCCCCATGGTTGAGGTTGTCCGCACCAAGCTGACCGAGCGACTGGAGGAGCTGACTAGTACAAGGAGCAGCTTGTGAAGTCCGTCGGTGAGGAGAAAGTGTCCCCATACACCACTGACCTCCAGAGCAAGCTGGAGCCCTACTTAGAGGTCCTGAAGAGCAGGGTCATGGACTTCTAAGAAACCATCTTCACGGCCATGAAGGCATAAGAACCTGTGAACCTGGTCAGTCAGGACTCCACCTCCCCTCAACTATGTAACACACTAACTGGCAGCCTCCTCGCAACAGCACATTACAACCAAGAACTGCTGAAAGTCGCACACACACACACACACTATCTGGTGAATGTCTCCACATTGGCCACCTTCACTGTGTGATTCCATCCACATGAACGTGGCCTGTCTCAGTTTCATGCTTGCTGTAGCTTGGTGAAAGAAACTTGGTGTACCTGGGGTGTAATCATCACTCCAAATGAAAACTAGCAGTTCTATTGGACAGATTCAGGTAGGTCCTTCCCTGTTTTCAAAACCTGTCCAATAGAAATGCTAGTTTTCGTAGCAAAACTAAATGTTTTGCAACTGTTTGGAGTAATGATTACAACCCAGATATAACATCTTGCTCTCTACTCCACAGATTACATCTTGTCAATAAAATATGTACGGTCTCCAAAATACTGCTGTGATGGTTCTTTGATAATTTTCTTTCATCTTTTATAACAGATGGTAATTAAACAGGACAGTTTTAAGTTCAATGAGTCATACTTCGGGTGTGACTTTTAATAAGGCACTTAACATAACACTTGTGTATTTTTTTTTTGCCACCTAAATTATACTTTTTTAACATAGAATCATGAAAGTTAGAAACAATAAACATACCAAATGCATGGAAGTTAGAAATAACATACTTACAAAATAACATACATCATGTCACAGTTGTTATAATTATGTCAAAGGGTATCAGAGGTATATTTTACAATAAATAAAAGGCATACATAACAAACATGATATCCCTATGGGTTAACACACATCAGTAATGTGAAAACAAAAAAGAAGTTATGGTTGGTGCCAGATTATCATTGCAGTTGTTTTAACAATAGATGTACTTTTGGTCAGCTTTTAAAAATTAATGAAATTATTTAGTCAGCTGTATCGATATAGGGATGCATAATACAAAATACTTCCTTTTATTGTGTCACATACAGTGCATTTAGAAAGTTTTCAGACCCCTTTACTTTTTCCACATTTTGTTACGTTACAGCCTTATTCTAAAATGTATTAAATTGTTGTTTTTTTCCTCATCAATCTACACACAATACCCCATAATGACAAAGAAAAAACATTTGATTTTTTTGTGCAAATCTATAAATAAAATAAAAAACGGTAATACACTGCTCAAAAAAAGAAAGGGAACACTAAAATAACACATCCTAGATCTGAATGAATGAAATAATCAATACTTTTTTCTTTACATAGTTGAATGTGCTGACAACAAAATCACACAAAAATGATCAATGGAAATCAAATGTATCAACCCATAGAGGTCTGGATTTGGAGTCACCCTCAAAATTAAAGTGGAAAACCACACTACAGGCTGATCCAACTTTGATGTAATGTCCTTAAAACAAGTCAAAATGAGGCTCAGTAGTGTGTGTGGCCTCCACGTGCCTGTATGACCTCTCTACAACGCCTGGGCATGCTCCTGATGAGGTGGCGGATGGTCTCCTGAGGGATCTCCTCCCAGACCTGGACTAAAGCATCCGCCAACTCCTGGACAGTCTGTGGTGCAACGTGGCGTTGGTGGATGGAGCGAGACATGATGTCCCAGATGTGCTCAATTGGATTCAGGTCTGGGGAACGGGCGGGCCAGTCCATAGCATCAATGCCTTCCTCTTGCAGGAACTGCTGACACACTCCAGCCACATGAGGTCTAGCATTGTCTTGCATTAGGAGGAACCCAGGGCCAACCGCACCAGCATATGGTCTCAGAAGGGGTCTGAGGATCTCATCTCGGTAACTAATGGCAGTCAGGCTACCTCTGGCGAGCACATGGAGGGCTGTGCGGCCCCCCAAAGAAATGCCACCCCACACCATGACTGACCCACCGCCAAACCGGTCATGCTGGAGGATGTTGCAGGCAGCAGAACGTTCTCCACGGCGTCTCCAGACTCTGTCACGTCTGTCACGTGCTCAGTGTGAACCTGCTTTCATCTGTGAAGAGCACAGGGCGCCAGTGGCGAATTTGCCAATCTTGGTGTTCTCTGACAAATGCCAAACGTCCTGCACGGTGTTGGGGTGTAAGCACAACCCCCACCTGTGGACGTCAGGCCCTCATACAACCTTCATGGAGTCTGTTTCTGACCGTTTGAGCAGACACATGCACATTTGTGGCCTGCTGGAGGTCATTTTGCAGGGCTCTGGCAGTGCTCCTCCTGCTCCTCCTTGCACAAAGGCGGAGGTAGCAGTCCTGCTGCTGGGTTGTTGCACTCCTACGGCCTCCTCCACGTCTCCTGATGTACTGGCCTGTCTCCTGGAAGCGCCTCCATGCTCTGGACACTACGCTGACAGACACAGCAAACCTTCTTGCCACAGCTCGCATTGATGTGCCATCCTGGATGAGCTGCACTACCTGAGCCAATTGTGTGGGTTGTAGACTCCGTCTCATGCTACCACTAGAGTGAAAGCACCGCCAGCATTCAAAAGTGACCAAAACATCAGCCAGGAAGCATAGGAACTGAGAAGTGGTCTGTGGTCACCACCTGCAAAGCAGTCCTTTATTGGGAGTCTCTTGCTAATTGCCTATAATTTCCACCTGTTGTCTATTCCATTTGCACAACAGCATGTGAAATGTATTGTCAATCAGTGTTGCTTCCTAAGTGGACAGTTTGATTTCACAGAAGTGTGATTGACTTGGAGTTACATTGTGTTGTTTAAGTGTTCCCTTTATTTTTTTGAGCAGTGTATGACATTTACATAAGTATTCAGACCCTTTACTCAGTACTTTGTTGAAGAACCTTTGGCAGCGATTACAGCCTCGAGTCTTCTTGGTTATAACGCTACAAGCTTTGCACACCTGTCTTTTGGGAGTTTCTCCCATTCTTCTCTGCAGATCCTCTCAAGCTCTGTCAGGTTGGATTGGGAGCGTCCACAGCTATTTTCAGGTGTCTCCAGAGATGTTCGATCTGGTTCAAGTCCGGGCTCTAGCTGGGCCACTCAAGGACATTCAGAGACTTGTCCCGAAGCCACTTCTGCATTGTCTTGGCTGTGTGCTTAGGGTCATTGTCCTGTTGGAAGGTGAACCTTCGCCCCAGTCTGAGGTCCTGAGCGCTCAGCAGGTTTACATCAAGGATCTCTCTGTACTTTGCTCCATTCATCTTTCCCTTGATCCTGACTAGTCTCCCAGTCCCTGTCGCTGAAAAACATCCTCACAGCATGATGCTGCCATAACCATGCTTCACCGTAGGGATGGTGCCAGGTTTCCTCCAGATTTGACGCTTGGCATTCAGGCCAAAGAGTTCAATCTTGGTTTCATTAGACCAGAGAATCTTGTTTCTTATGGTCAGAGTCCTTTAGGTGCCTTTTGTCAAACTCCAAGCGGGATGTGATGTGCCTTTTACTGAGGAGTGGCTTCTGTCTGGCCCCTCTACCATAAATACCTGATTGGTAGAGTGCTGCAGAGATGGTTGTCCTTCTGGAAGGTTCTTCCATCTCCACAGAGGAACTCTGGAGCTCTTTCAGAGTGACCATCGGGTTCTTGGTCACCTCCCTGACCAAGGCACTTCTCCCCCGATTGCTCAGTTTTGCCGGGCGGCCAGCTCTAGGAAGAGTCTTGGTTGTTCCAAACTTCTTCCATTTAAGAATGATGGAGGCCACAGTGTTCTTGGGGACCTTCAATGCTGCAGAAATGTTTTGGTACCCTTCCCTAGACCTGTGCCTCGACACAATTCTGTCTCGAAGCTCTACGTGCAATACCTTCAACCTCATGGCTTGGTCTTTGCTCTGACATGCACTGTCAACTGTGGGACCTTATATAGACAGTTGTGTGCCTTTCCAAATCATGTCCAATCAATTGAATTTACCACAGGTGGACACCAATCAAGTTGTATAAACATTTTAAGGATGATCAATGGAAACAGGATGTAACTGTGCTCAATTTCGAGTCTCATAGCAAAGGGTCTGAATACTTATGTAAATAAAGTATCTGTTTTTTATTTTTAATAAATTTGCAAAAATGTCTAAAAACCTGTTTTCACTTTGTCATTATGGGATATTGTGTGTAGATTGATGAGGAACATTTTTAATTTAATCAATTTTAGCATAAGGCTGTAACGTAACAAAAAGTGGAAAAAGTCAAGCGATCTGAATACTTTCCGAATGCACTGTAGGTGAATAGTAATACGTCACCATGACTGCTCTGTGTAGGTAGAGTTGGTGTGAATCATATTCCACCATCTCCCTCTTCAGTTCTGTGACGTTGAACAGAACGCTATCAGTGTTCAGCTCCTCTTTCCCTTCATGTCTTCTGTAATATGTTCTCTTTCGGTCTTTTTTGCTCCTCCTTTCACTTGGCTGGGCAGAAGGGGCAGGTGTTGTTCTTGCTGGACTGCAGCCATACACTGATGCACTGAAACACAGAGGAGCAAATCATCAGCTTTACATCAGCTAACAGTGCCTAACTAGTTTAAGCATAGTCAGGGTTATAGCAATGTAAGTATCATCTTTTGATGTCCATTTAGCAGATGCTATTATCCAAAGCGACTTAGTCATGCGTGCATACATTTTACGTATGGGTGGCCCCGAGAATTGAACCCACAGTCCTGGCATTGTAAGCGCTATGCTTTACTAACTGAGCCATACAGTTTTCAGTAATCTATGCGTTTTTTAATTCAGTGTAGGACTTACATCCTTATGTACAGTGTGGGCGCAGCTCATGGAGTGCTGGCTGTCTGCTTCCACGTGGTTCTGGCACATCAAGCACAGCTTACGATTAATGGGAGCCACAGGCTGGAGAGAGAGAGAAGCAGCACATCAGCACATCGTCACCCAAGCCTAAAATTCTCAATTGTGCCCTCTGCGGGTTGGTAGTGGTTTGTACCTGTGGGGGCCTTGTCTGGAAGACTTGAGTTACTGCAGGTCTCTGAGCGAGATTTGTGGGTCTCTGGATGGGGCCAGGAGGCCTCTGGATTGGGCCTGGAGGGCCAGGAACGCCCCTGGCAGCAGAAAGAGGCCTAATAGGCCCTGGAGCCTGTGGAGGATAAAGGTTAGGTTAAGGTTTAGACTGTGTTGGTGTGTGTGTGTACCCTTAGTGTGTATGTGTCTCAGTATGAGTTTGTGTGATTTTTTTACCGGTTTCTCGCTCTGTGCCAGTCTATGTGCCACCTGCTGTGTGACCTCGTCCATAGACATGCCAGCCATGGTGCCACGAGAATTCTTAATCTGCTGCAGCACTGACATGAGTTGAGTTCTAGAGAGAGAGAGAGAGAGAAACAGAAAGAATGAGACTAGAATCAATATTTATTGATTATAGTCTGCAAGATCTTTTACTGAATTACTAAATTCAGAGTAAGTGACAGACTTTGAGCTCACCTGTTGCACTGTGGAAATATGTCCCCCAGTCTCTTCAGTAGGTTGTCCAGTTTGCCAGCGGCAGGGGGGTTACTGAAGGGCAGGGGCTGGGCGGAGGCCATAGTGGTGGGCAGGGAAACAGGTGGGGCGGCTGGGTGGAGGGGTAGAGCGGAGGTAGGGGGAGTAGAGGAGGGGACAGGTGGGGGGGTTAATCTGGCTGGGGCTGTGAAAGCAGCCGGGTGGTGCTGCTGGGGTTGGAAGGGCATCCCCACAGCGTTAGGAGGGCCCATCTGAAAATGTTGAAAAGGGGGGCAGGGTGGAGCGTACATCATCTGACTCATCATCAAGTCCACCTGCAGAGAAATGGTTCCGTTAACAACAGATACAGTATTCACATGAATTACTGGCATGGACTGTCTTTGTCAGAATCAACTACACATATACACTACCAGTCAAAAGTTTGGACACACCTACTCATTCAAGGGTTTTCCTTTATTTTAACTATTTTCTACATTGTAGAATAATAGTGAAGACATAAAAACTATGAAATAACACAACCAAAAAAGTGTTAAACAAATCAAAGTATATTTTATATTGGAGATTCTTCAAAGTAGCCACCCTTTGCCTTGATGACGGCTTTGCACACTCTTGGCATTCTCTCAACCAGCTTCATGAGGTATTCACCTGGAATGGAAGACCCAGAATTACCTCTGTTGCAGAGGATAAGTTCATTAGAGTTACCAGCCTCAGAAACTGCAGCCCAAATAAATGCTTCACAGAGTTCAAGTAACAGACACATCTCAACATCAACTGTTCAGAGAGGACTGTGTGAATCGGGCCTTCATGGTCGAATTGCTGCAAATAAACCACTACTAAAGTACACCAATAACAAGACCCCTGGCCAAGAAACACGAGCAATGGACATTAGACCGGTGGAAATGTGTCCTTTGGTCTGGAGTCCAACCGCCACAATCCCACGACCTCAACCCAATTGAGATGGTTTGGGATGAGTCGGACAGCAGAGTGAAGGAAAAGCAGCCAACAAGTGCTCAGCATAGGTGGGAACTCCTTCAAGACTGATTCCAGGTGATTGCTGGTTGAGAGAATGCCAAGAGTGTGCAAAGCTATCATCAAGGCAAAGGGTGGCAATTTGAAGAATCTCAAATGTAAAATATATTTTGATTTGTTTATCACTTTTTCATTTACTACATGATTCCATATGTGTTATTTCATAGTTTTGATGTCTTCACTATTATTCTACAATGTAAAAAATAGTAAAAATAAAGAAAAACCCTTGAATGAGTAGGTGTGTCCAAACTTTTGACTGGTAGTGTATGTATCACACACACACCGTGGGGACTTGGGGTAAGTGTGGTAATGTGACTCCAGGGAGGCTTTCCATCGGTTGTCCCTTTTGCAGCAGGTGAAGGTTCTCCTTGAACTGATTCTGTGTGAGTGTGAGAGTGAGAGTGAGAGAGAGAGAGAGAGAGAGAGTCAATAATAAAGTCCCCCCTAGTCTCCATTTATCCAATGAGAGGCAGTGGTCTACCATCCCTCTTGTTCCTCACCTGCAGTCCCGCCAAACTGCTGTGAACAACAGCCACATTATTCTCCCACTCCAGCCTCTGGTGCATGTGCTGCTGGGAGAGGTCAAATCTGCAGACAGAGGACACACAACCAATCACTGAAGCACAGCCTTTATGGAAGAAGCTACAATATGTAGGCTACATCCAGCTTCAGTCATAGGGTCATGCTCAGTACAGTACCTAAGTGTGTTTATGTATTGGTCAGCCTCTTTCAGCCAGTCATCCACCTCAGCCATGGTCACATCTCTCTGCATTTCCAGAGCTGCAATCTGTTGAACATAAATCAGAATACAAATCAGGGTTAATCCCTGATTGTCTTCAAATCAAACTCCATGGAGAAATGTGGATAGGTGAATCAGAGTGAACGCTCAGCGTCATAGGGTTGTGATGGTTGACTGATGATAAATATGGACAGACAGACTGACCTCATCCCGTAGAGCTGTCTGAGTGGCCTCATCTGACTCTTTCTGTAGCCGCTCCATCTCAGTGTTCAGGTCTGCTAGCTCCCTCTCCCACATCAGCCTATAGATGAGCACAGTAGGTGTGTTGTATAGCATTATATTGTGGACAAGGTGTGTTGTGTAGCATGACACTGTATGTGATGTGTTGTCTCTGGTTAGGTTATATGAAGTGTAGGGGTAGGAGTGTGGCTCAGTAATCTTACTTTTCCTGGTTCTGTTCCTCTATCAGCAATGCCAGCTTCCTGGTGGTCTCCTTCAGCTCCTGAGACAGTCTGGTAGAAGGACAGACAGAGGAAAATGGCTGACTAACAGGACATCATGTCACAGTTCTGTTGAGGTGGCCACCACCTAGCCTACCATCTGTCCCACACCTCAAAGGGTTTTCCACAATTTCTCTTTTTCCACCTTCCTCTCACCATCTCTTCTTTACCTGTTCCTCTCCTCCTCCATTTTGATTTTTTCTGCGCTGAGGTCTTGCTTCTTGACTGCAAAGTTCTTGCGGGTGGTCTTGCAGCAGTTCAGCTGTAGCTTCACACGCAGAGACTCAATTTTGTCCAGCAGCGCCTGAAAATATTTATATAGTCACTCGCAGTTAATAAGTCCAAAGATGTACAACAGCTCAAGCTGATGAAAAGACACAAGTAGGCCTATATGTAGCATACAGCAGAGATGTGTGTTTGAACACAGACCTGCTGCTGGTGGATCCCCTCATCTTTCTTCTGAACCAGGCTGTCTACGAGGTTGCCATGATCAGCCTCCTCCTCCTGCTGCTGCTTCATCAGCTCCTCATAGTGCAGGGCCAGGTGAGTGCTGTACTCATCCACTGACCGCTAAAGAAAGAAAGAAAGAATAGAAGAGACAGAGAGGGGAGGAAAATAGGAAGGGAAGGGGGGTAAATAGGAGAAAGAGAGGGAGGGGATAATGTAACCACAGAATAAGAATGACAGAGAGGTTGTCAACTTGTGTCATGAACATGTACAGATATATATGTTGTGTTTAAGTTACCACAGTGACTCCCCATGCCCCAGTCATGCCCCCAGAGTGAACACATTACCATCAGTGACTCCCAATCCTGATCTGTGTTAACATCTTTGTCTGCTGTCCAGGCATCTGTCTGCAAGAGACCCAACACTTATGATTACTTTCTGTCACATGCCCACAATTCTCTTTGGGAAATTACAGCTGTAGGCTACTACTGTCCTATATAAACTAATTCTACCTGGAAGCCTTTCTCCTCAGAGTGAGTGACATGGTGTCCATCCCCTGAGGCCAACTTGTCCAGCTCCCCTATAGATCCCGAGGTGCAGCCTGGATCTGACCAGGGGTTGGACTGGTTGGACCATGGGTTGTATTGCTGCTCAGGGTTTCCCGTGGCAGCGGTTTCGCTGGGGGAACAAAGAAAAAATTTAGCTAGGGTAAATATTTCGTTAGGTAGGCGTATTCAGCTGATATAACAGCGTGTCATCACCCACCCCTCATAACAAACAACAGCCCCCAAGATAAATCACCGGATTTACCGCGCCATGTCCTCCTCAAGCGCCAATCCCCAGTCGATGTCGTCCATAACGTTAGTTAGCTAGTTTCTATGACTAGAAATTGGAATTAAACAGCGGTAAGCGTGTTAGGAAACTGAAGCTTAAATGACAAGTTGCATTATTAGTAATCAAAAACGGCAAATTAAGATGTTGAGTTGTCTGTTTCCTCATCCACAAACCACGTTAGAAAATTATAAACATTGCACGTTTGCTGACGTACACTTCCGGATAAGCTCACTGAGATCATCACTGCTCTTGGGCAGCTTCTTCTTCTTCTTCTTTGATGAGGTTTAACGGTGGTTGGCATCCAATAAATATTGCATTACCGCCACCTACTAGACTGGAGTACAACTCCCTTATACTTTGCTTGAAAAATAAAAAATAAATAAAACCTACCATCTAACACTACACTCACAAAAACAAAAATGATAATAATAATAATAATAATGATAAAAGAACACCACCCTACTCCACTATTCAAATATATTTAGTCCTACATCAGGCCAACAACCTGAAAGGATGAGACACCACCACTTAACACACCTTATAACTTTTCTGATGTCAAGTCTCGCACACCCAAATACCTATCTGCAGCGGCCACCACAACCTCAATTTTCTGCGACTTACGTTCCATCCCTGCAGTACAGTTGATAACCATTGCTATAAATGCTAAAAATCCAATCTTACTGAAACATATCACTTGTTGGCCTATCCCTCTGTACTGGTACAGATCTACTACTCTCACCACTCCTCTCAGGATCCCTCCCCCTTGACCCATCTTCCTCTACTTTCTTCACTGCCTCAGCATATGACAACTTCTGCACTACTCTAACCCTGGAAACCTCAACCTGCCTCTCTCGCACCGGACATTTCTGATCCCCAGCCCCATGGGCACCCCTACAATTTACACATACCACTACTTTCCCCAATGCTACACATTCCTTTGTCTCATGCCCTAGTAACATACTTCTCACACCTAGTAACCTCCCTCCTTCACACTGCTGCCACATGCCCATAAGCTTGACACCTGTAACAACGTAATGTATTCGGCACAAAAGCTCTTACAGGATAACTTATATATCCTAACATCACTTTGTCAGGCAAAGACTCAACATCAAAACTCAAAAGAACAGACAATGATTCTTCTGTTTCACCACTCACTCCACCCTGTCTGCGTCGCACCAAACGACGAGCATCATAAACACCGGGAATCTTCCCCTTCAGTTGGTCAACTTTTACATTTACTGCTACCCCAGTAATCACTCCTTTCAATGGTGCCCTTTTCTCGAGCGCAAAACAATTCACATCTCTTGCCCCCATTTGTTTAACATGGAGCTCCTGCTCCCTCTAATGAGCAGAAACACAAACAATTATCACAAGACCACCTCTGGTTATCCTCACCGATTCCACAGCACCCAACTCTGTTTTCATCCACCCTGAAACCACAAATGGATCAGCCAAAAGACAAGGTTCCACCTTCTCCAAAAACTTCACTCCTACTGTCACAGACTCATCTTTATCCTGACCCTCAGTGCAATCCTCGGGCTCCAAGAACTTCACCACACCTATCACCTCCAATACTTCGCCCTCATTCACTTCCATTTCTCCTCCTGTCTTCAGCTCACTCTGCTTATACTTTCTACCATTCTTCTTTAACAAACCATCTCCCTTTTTCCTGCATTTTTTCCCGACTCAATCTCACCCTTTTCCTCCCTCTCTCTCTTAGACCTCCTCTGCTTCTCTTTTTCCCCTCCATTCCTCCTCCGTATTCCAAGTATACTTCTTCTTTAAAATTTAATTTTAAATTATTCTTATGATAATACTGCACTTCTCCTGACATACATCTTGTTCTTGCCTTCTCAAGGGACGCCATTTAACCGTCTGTCACAATCTCCGTACAATCAGCACGAACCCCTTGGGATGTAGCGCTCAACAGTGCATCCCACAGAGCGCGTCTTGATGTTCTTCTTTATCAATAGCTACCGTGACGCTTTTCCATTTCAAATAAGCGCGCTCTTCCAACCACCATCCACCGTCACGCTCTCTCTCTCCTGAGCTCGCCACTCGTCGTCTCTCTTGGGCGAGCGTCGTAGACCTTCATTTACAAGCTCAGTTGGCCTTACATCACATTTGTTTTTATTAACTTGTTTAACTTCATGATGTTTGAAATGCATGTTGCCACCAGAGAGGGTGAGTTTGATTGAACAGCGCCGGAAGAAGATGGCTGCCGTTTTACAGCCCTCTAACCAATTGTACTATTATGTGTGTTTTTCCGCGTTATTTGTAATTTATTTTGTACATAATGTTTATGCCATCGTCTCTTATAACCAAAGAGAGCTTCTGGATATCAGGACAGCGATTACTCACCTCGCGTTGGACGAACACTTTTTCTTCAACGAGGCGTTCGCGAAGGATATCCTACAGACACCCGACAAGGCCCAGATCCCCGTCATTCGCGTGAGGAAGAGACGGAGATTTCGTGGACGTAGGTCGGGGTGCCTTGTAAGGATCCGACGGCGAACGAGTAAACTGCCTCTCCCATCAATCCTATTAGCCAACGTTCAAGCTTTGGAGAATAAAATGGACGATTTAAGATTACGGTTATCCTACCAACGGGACATTAAAAACTGTAATATCTTATGTTTCACGGAGTCGTGGCTGAATGACAACAATGACAACATTCAGCTAGCAGGCTATACGCTACATCGGCAGGACAGAACGGCAGACTCGGGTAAGACGAGGGGTGGCGGTCTCTGTATTTTTGTAAACAACAGCTGGTGCACAAAATCAAATACTAAGGAAGTCTCAAGGTTTTGCTCGCCTGAGGTAGAGTATCTTATGATAAGCTGTAGACCACACTATTTACCAAGAGAGTTTTCATCTATACTTTTCATAGCTGTCTATTTACCACCACAAACCAATGCTGGCATTAAGATTGCACTGAATGAGTTGTACAAGGCCATTAATCAACAGGAAAACGCTCATCCAGATGCAGCGCTCCTAGTAGCAGGGGACTTTAATGCAGGGAAACTTAAATCCGTTCTACCTCATTTCTACCAGCATGTTAAATGTGCAACCAGAGGGGAAAAAACTCTAGACCACCTTTACTCCACACACAGAGACGCATACAAAGCTCTCCCTCGCCCTCCATTTGGCAAATCTGACCATAACTCTATCCTCCTGATTCCTGCTTATAAGCAAAAACTGAAGCAGGAAGCACCAGTGATTCGGCTAATAAAAAAGTGGTCAGATGACGCAGATGCTAAGCTACAGGACTGTTTTGCTAGCACAGACTGGAACATGTTCCGGGATTCTTCAGACAGCATTGAGGAGTACACCACATCAGTCACTGGCTTCATCAATAAGTGCATCGATGATGTCGTCCCCACAGTGACCGTACGTACATACCCCAACCAGAAGCCATGGATTACAGGAAACATCCGCACTGAGCTAAAGGGTAGAGCTGCCGCTTTCAAGGAACGGGACTCTAACCCGGACGCTTATAAGAAATCCCGCTATGACCTCCGACGAACCATCAAACAGGCAAAGAGTCAATACAGGTCTAAGATTGAATCATACTACACTGGCTCTGACGCTCGTCGGATGTGGCAGGGCTTGAAAACTATTACAGACTACAAAGGGAAGCACAGCCGCGAGCTGCCCAGTGACACAAGCCTACCAGACGAGCTAAACCACTTCTATGCTCGCTTCGAGGCAAGCAACACTGAAGCATGCATGAGAGCACCAGCTGTTCCGGACGACTATGTGATCACGCTCTCCGTAGCCGATGTGAGTAAGACTTTTAAGCAGGTCAACATTCACAAGGCCGCAGGGCCAGACGGATTACCAGGACGTGTACTCCGAGCATGTGCTGACCAACTGGCAAGTGTCTTCACTGACATTTTCAACATGTCCCTGACTGAGTCTGTAATACCAACATGTTTCAAGCAGACCACCATAGTCCCCGTGCCCAAGAACGCTAAGATAACCTGCCTAAATGACTACCGACCCGTGGCACTGACGTCTGTAGCCATGAAGTGCTTTGAAAGACTGGTCATGGCTCACATCAACAGCATAATCCCAGAAACCCTAGACCCACTCCAATTTGCATACCGCCCCAACAGATCCACAGATGATGCAATCTCTATCGCACTCCACACTGCCCTTTCCCACCTGGACAAGAGGAACACCTACGTGAGAATGCTATTCATTGACTACAGCTCAGCATTCAACACCATAGTGCCCTCAAAGCTCATCACTAAGCTAAGGATCCTGGGAATAAACACCTCCCTCTGCAACTGGATCCTGGACTTCCTGACGGGCCGCCCCCAGGTGGTAAGGGTAGGTAACAACACATCTGCCACACTGATCCTCAACACGGGGGCCCCTCAGGGGTGCGTGCTCAGTCCCCTCCTGTACTCTCTGTTCACCCATGACTGCATGGCCAGGCACGACTCCAACACCATCATTAAGTTTGCCGACGACACAACAGTGGTAGGCCTGATCACCGACAACGATGAGACAGCCTATAGGGAGGAGGTCAGAGATCTGGCCGTGTGGTGCCAGGACAACAACCTCTCCCTCAACGTGACCAAGACAAAGGAGATGATTGTGGACTACAGGAAAAAAAAGAGGACTGAGCACGCCCCCATTCTCATCGACGGGGCTGTAGTGGAACAGGTTGAGAGCTTCAAGTTCCTTGGTGTCCACATCACCAACGAACTATCATGGTCCAAACACACCAAGACAGTCGTGAAGAGGGCACGACAAAGCCTATTCCCCCTCAGGAGACTAAAAAGATTTGGCATGGGTCCTCAGATCCTCAAAAAATTCTACAGCTGCACCATCGAGAGCATCCTGACTGGTTGCATCACCGCCTGGTATGGCAACTGCTTGGCCTCTGACCGCAAGGCACTACAGAGGGTAGTGCGTACGGCCCAGTACATCACTGGGGCAAAGCTCCCTGCCATCCAGGACCTCTATACCAGGCGGTGTCAGAGGAAGGCCCTCAAAATTGTCAAAGACTCCAGTCACCCTAGTCATAGACTGTTCTCTCTGCTACCGCACGGCAAGCGGTACCGGAGTGCCAAGTCTAGGTCCAAAAGACTTCTCAACAGCTTCTACCCCCAAGCCATAAGACTCCTGAACAGCTAATCATGGCTACCCGGACTATTTGCACTGCCCCCCCACCCCATCCTTTTTACGCTGCTGCTACTCTGTT